TTATTGTTATTGTTATTGTTATTGTTATTGTTATTGTTATCGTTATTGTTATTGTTATTGTTACATAAATCATTGATAGATAATGAAGTTTCACTACTTTATATAATTTTGAAATAACTTTCCATAACGAGATTCTGATACTCGACCGGAAAATGTGAAGAAGTTTTCCATATCCTTCCAATAATTGTTATCGTTATTGCTATTGTTATTGCTATTGTCATTGTTATTGTTACTGTTAGTAAAGTTGCTTTTGAATTTATCGTAGTCATACGAAATCACTTACCATGCAATTCATGAATTCTTGTATCGATATCATCTTGCAACTCCTCTCGAATATCGTATGTTTCTTCCGGTTGATGATCAGAATGAAGCGATTCCTGATCAGGAGAGTGCGTTTTCGGGATATTCTCGTTCCCAGAAAGACCATTATCATCGTAACATTTTTGCTCTAAGTCAAGAATGGCATTTTCTTTAAGTGCTTCTGTTGTATTTCCATTGTAGCTATTGAGAGAAGTTCTCCTTTCAGGTTTCATCGGATAATCGGTACTGAGTCTCACTGGCTGTATTTGTAAATCTGTTGAACAATCCTAAAAATTTTTCTTAAAAAGCAGAAAAAAATTAGATGAAAGCATAGTTGAAGCATTCAAAATTTCAAACTTAATGCTTGAAACTTTGCAAGTGAAAAAAAATTCAATGAAAAAAAAAGAGAAATTCTTGCTAACAACCGGAATATTTTAAACTCCTCAAAATGATAACTGATAAATCGGAAAGACTCACATGTTGATTAAATGGATCGACAACAGTAGCTGTAACATTAGATTCTATTTTTAAATTATCCTCCTGAATTACATCATCTGTAATTTGAAATTCATCTGAAATTAAACAATTATCAATTTTTTAAGAAACAAGATTCTTAAAATAAAAAAAAAAAATTAAAAAGATCTTTCAAACAAATATTCATTAGAAAGGAGGAGTCAAACTTTAAATACGAAAAAGCGATGTAGAGCAGGATAACATGAATAATTTAATTATATCAGTAGCAAATATTTAATTTTTTTGTCTCAATTTAACATTTGTTTTCAATCAGTAATATGAAGAAAATTTGAAAACTACATGAAAGCAAAAAAAAAAATTGAAAAATTGAAATGTGCTAAATAAAATTTGAATCACAAAATGAATTACTGAAAATTGAAATTTTGATTTCTTATTATTAAGTGAATCAAGGCCTAAAACACTTATTTTACAATGTTTCATATTTGTTTGAAACCTTTTCCATAGGAGAGATGCTCCACAACTGACGTCTCATCCATACTTCATAAAGTGCTTCTCAGTAAGATATTCCTGCAAATCCTTTATTTTCGTTTTTTTTTTTGTATCAATTATCATAAAAGGGCGGTAATGTCGCAATATTCACATTACAGTAATAATACTTTATGCCTAAACACCTTACTTATCTCTGTGATTTGTAATGATATTAATTCTATGATATTTCGATGCCTTTATTCGATAATAAATATAAAATAGATTTAGTATAATCAGAAATAATTTTATTGACAGCTAAAATAAGCGTATATATATTTGAAAATTTCATCATTAAAATATCACTACATCTCAATTTAACTTTTGCTCTCAATCAGTAATGTGAAGAAAATTTGAAGAAAACTCAAAATATCATTTCTGCTAATCATATCATCCAGCTTTTGTCGAATTTCATTCATCTTAAATAAAATTTTACCTTCATTCATTTTTATTAGTTTCAAACATAATGATACGATAAAGAAAGATCGACAAACTGTTTTACAAATTATAAAAAATTTAATTTCAATCAGTCATGACTGTATTATTGATTGAAACATAAAATTTTTATGAAACAATAAAACTATAAGTATAAAAATTTATAAAACAATGAAAAATTTATAAAACTCTTTGGGCATATTATTATTTCATTCAATACCTTAAAAGCAATAAAAAATTTTAAAATTCCACTATTAATTAGCAAATAAATGAATAAAAGTAAAGATGGAACATAATTCATATTTTTGATTAGTCTATCTTATCGTCGAAATATTTCCAACATTATCTCGGCTACAAAAACGAAAACGATCAATGAAATTAATTTGGGTTAAAAATGAGATAGAGCAACAAAAAAAAAGAAAAAAACTTGAGATTAAAGAGGAAAAAACGAAAACATAACAAAAAAGAATAGAAGAAACTATCAAAAAGAAAAGCCACTTTATGAGCCAAGAATAATTTAACTAGCCTTGTAAGCTAAGCATAAATGAGACAATTAAATGAATCAAAAATCTGAAAAGATCATTTCTCATTCGTCCAAAAATTTCGTCTATTTTTTAGGCTATACAGCTTCATAAAACAAGTTAAGAATATTGCTAAATCGTCATAAGAATTGTCGAAAATTTGAAATTACACTACAATATTAAAAAAAAAAAAATGTTAAAATTGTGTAAATATTTTATAGAAATTTTTATTGCAACAAATTATTATCCAGAATTATCAATTGAACAATTTATGGCTGTGTTTACCAGAAATTCTATTTATTCATTGCAGATTGAAATTTATATGATAAATTACCATATTTGCTATTTAATTTCATCAGAAATTTCCAAGCAACGTTTGTAGTGAATTTTAAAACTATTATTTATTTTGAATTTTAACGCCTAATTCGCTATAAAAGGCAATTTTCTATTTGATAGTTTAAATCAGAATTTTGCTCCAATTTTATTCCATTCTCATTCGAATCTAATTCCAATCTTATTCCCAAATTTCAATTTTTATTTCCTATATTATATTTACCAATAGAAATTATTCTGAAATTTTTTTTTATGATCGCGTACCAAATCTGAATCTAAACGAATCCCTTCTGGACTATAACTTCAACAAAGAATTTCAAATTAAACTCTCTCAAACTAACACGTCAACCAAGTGATCGCCCACTGATAAAAATCTGATAAAAATAGTACTATTGATAAAAATCTTACCTCTCATTAAATAATTTGAATATATCAAAATAAAGCTTTCCTTAAAAAAGAATCCCATAACAGAAAGAATAGGAATATCTTTTTGTGTAAATGAGAGGTCAAAGGCAAATTAGGTAAAAAGTGAATAAAAAATAGAGGAGAAATTTTGTGTGTGCTAAATACTTTAAATAGGAATGATAATTTTCATAAAAATCATAATCATGATAAGGGTTAAAGTAAATTTATGTTGATATTTAACGTTTAAACAGACATATATTCATGATATCATCAATCATAACATTGATAGGAAATAAAAGAAATGAAAGGATTGAAATAACTGTAAAAGATGAAAGAAACACATTTGTAATGTTTGTCCTACATTCGTTTATAAACAATATACAATAGCAATATGCAATGAACCGAATTTTACGATGAACAGCTGTTAAAAAAAAAAAAAAAAGTCAACCAAGCTATTTTTTAATAAAATGCTAGAAGAATAAGCATTTTAAGAATTGCTACAATAAACAGTTCAGGAGTTGCTACAATAAGTATTCCAAGGGTTGCTACAATTAGCATTTCAACGATTACTACAATGAATGTTTTACGAAGCCACAATAAGCATTCCAAGAATAGCTACAATAAGCATTTTAAGAATTGCTACAGTAAGCATTCCAAGAATTGCT